TACTCCGTTTGCGGGCGATGGAATTTCGGAACGATGTGTGTCCATAATACAAACTGGTTTGAAAGTTTGATTAACTTTTCACCAAAATTTCTACACATGTATTTATTTTCAATTCCAATCAGTGTAACATTTGTCTGCGTCCTCACCGCAATATCTTCCACGAATCTTACAATCGGCCTCTTCTGATCATTGCGCTCAGGATTTATCTCACCATCATAATTCATACTACTGAAGTCACTGAAAACGTCATCCTCTGTGTTACGATCTTTAGGATTCCAGTTATTAAGTCCAGTTTTCGTTAATGTCATTAACAAATCGCGCGATAAGAAGCATTCATCGTTTTGATTATTTTCCACGATATTCGGGGAGAAGGCCATCGTCAGCACTGCGCGCAAAAGTCTTTGAAATTTATCAATACTTGTTTGGAGTACCAACAATGCAACACAGCGTAAGAAAAAGTCTTTGATATGAGGTTGGTTTTTAGAAAAGCATGACCAGTTAGCGATAAATTTGATAAGATGAGCAATGTCAAGACGCAAGACTGTCATCCCATCCTCTCGAGGACTAGATCCTGAAATTTGAGAGAAACAATCGTCGACATATTTTTCCAAACTGAGTCCATTAAATGCCAAAGTTACAGCATTCATGAGTGCCAAAGAATAGTCCGTAACCACTTCTTTAGGAGCTTTAGCACCTGAGCGCATCCACTCTCTTATCCAGTAGCATAAAGTGTTTGCATCATGTTTTCCTGATGCCATTTGGAATAGTGGCAGTATGCTGTCATTGTAGCCTGCCACAGCTTGGTACATAAAAATGGTAATTTTTGATCCATCCGTCAAAGGTAATCGTTGCGTAATATTCCCAGTTGCGTCAATGCTGATGCCGCCTATCTTGTTGCTTTTCAAGAAAACTTTATACATCGACAGTTGCTCAGGTAGCCAATACATAACGTACGGTTTGTTTAGGCCTATTTCTCTAATACCAGCAGAGTATTGGGGAGATTGTGGAGCCTTAAATAAAGACATCATCGGGTTATCACCAGATTTAACGCCGAGTTCCTTTTCTATTCTTTCTTGTGTGACTTTTCGAAGGACATTGGACGAGTATAAATCCGCAGGTTGAGGATCACCGAACTCCATACGCTTATGAGGTTCTTCTCGGCGCCATAAGTAAGCCGATTTTCCGTGCAACTCACCAGCAACCATTCTCCTCCTATGGCCTCGAAGTTGTCGTCTTTTAGTGTGAATAATGCCTCGCGTATCCAAAGTAGAAACATTGAAATCAATTCCAAATGAATTTCGGTATGACATTCAGAACAATTTCCTTTGATTGATAAGAAAATTGCACCTGCATTTCTGTTAATTTTAGCGTTTTTAAAAACAAATGGGCATGGTAACTTTAACGTTTCATAAATTGAATAATAAATTTTGTCATTCCACCCATCGGCTAAAACTTCGTATGCCCATGCCCTCTGTTTGTATTCTTTCAACTGCACCCCTAATTTATCCCATTCTGTCAAATTCAAATGAATAGATTCTCTCAACTCCTTCAAGGTGCCATCATTTTTTATTGGAGTTTTAAATGACCAGTTATCGTCACGAGTTTCCGTGAAGCCGGTACGATATGCCAGTATGAACATTATTATTTATAGCTCCTCGATTTTGTGTAATGTATTGATAAATATAGTCCTTTTTTAATATTTTGTCGGTTTTTCCAGATGCAGCTTGCCAAATGAAGTCACTGTATGGTAGATACTGCCCATTTTCCATAAAGTTGCAGCCCTCGAAAATTTCGAACAATTCATCACAAGTAAATTTTGGTTTCTTAGGCATTGTCAATGTTGCTAGGAAAACACTAGATTAACATAGAATGAAAACTTTACTCTGTTCACTCTCGCGATATCTGATACACTGAGCCCTATAAGAGAATCGTTCAATGTTGTAAAGCAGAGGTGCTCAACAAATTTAACTTGCTGAGCCAAATGACAACAACGTCAATACCAATTACAAAAACATCGTTCTAGGAATTGCAAAAAGTATTTCAACCAGCGTTGCCGTTTTGGTCCAATTGGACCAAAATTGGTAGCTTCACTTTCCTTTGGTAGTTTGGTTGGTTTGATGAAGCTTTTGGTAGGCAAAAATGTTTTGAAAATGCAATCCAATTGAGCACTAAAATTTGTTCGCTTCCTAGCCAGCCAAAAAACCGAAAACGGTTCCGTAAAGGAAAAAAAAGTGGAGGAAAATATGTGGCAGGAGCATATGTTTTGAAACGGATGCGTTTTTGTCTGTTTTTCTGAAAATTTTCTGGTTGAATTTTTCGTTCAATACGCTTTCCTTCTACACTTGACAGATGCTTTTTCATAGTTCGGGAAAAGATAAATTAAGGAAGTACCTGACGGTATCGAACACGGCACCTTCAGTAAGCTAACAAATACTAGCACACTGTTCTGCATGTTCAGCCACTGCTGCTTGAAATAATGTCATCATATTCGAAGGTTTTCCAGATACGAAAATGAACGAAAACTGTAGTCGTTTCTGAATACGAAAACCGCATTGAATTTTGACCGATTTTGAATACGTGAATTAATGAAAATTGAAATCGTTTGCGTAGCTAAAAAATCCGTGAATTCAAGAAATTTCGTTTTGATGATGGAAAGAGGTTTGGTAGTTTGAAAAGTGATTTGGTAGGCATTTTGGTACATAAACATTTGCTCAAGTGGCAACACTGATTTCAACCTCAAAACCAAGAAATAAATGATACAAGCATACGTGAGGCAGCAGTGAATGAATGTCGATCGACTTTTGTCCCGCTTGTTTTTGGCGAGTCAACGCTGCTTTTATTTGTTTTGCTGTGTTTGTTGCAAATGAGCCAAAGTGAGCCACAGTGATGTTGTTGTGAGCCAACTGAGACAATTGAGCTACTGTATGTTCCCTTTCAGACACGTCAAGTCTTGAAAGCAATTTTTTCCGCATTCTCTTTTGTGTTTTCTATTTGCTTCCACACGCGTCAACTTTAATTGAATTCAAGTCCTTGGTTCTTTAAATGGGAAGCAACGAAAAGATCAAAAGAGACAAGAAAACTTGAAACGAATTGACGGTACGGAGGTATCTGTACTCTTCCCCTCTCTTCTCACCTCCTTCGCCTACGAACGAGCAGACTTGAAAGCAAGACTTGACGTGTCTGAAAGGGGACTATGAGCGCCCCTGCTGTAAAGCAAAAATAGTACTGCTTCAGCAACGAAGCTCGCATAAAATGAAATATATTGATATACTTATGAACATACATATGCACTCATGGACTGGGGTTACGCGATCGCTCAGCAACGCGTATAAATGCGAGCACCAACATAAATATATATGTACGTTTGTATATATTCATGATGCAGACAAAGGTGGCGCCAGTGTTTAAAATAGTGGTCGGCGCTTCATACCAGGGGTGCTCATCCACTAGCTCAATAGAAGCTGTAGCTGTAAAAAGCTTCATATGAATTTAAAAAAAAAAACCATTACGCACTTATTTTTCAACTAAAAAAAAAAAAA